CCTTCTTGATGGCCCGCCCTCCTGATTTTGGACTTGCCCAGCCAGCCCCCATAATAATGACAGCCAAGTCCTTGCAATAAATCTCTTAATGTGTATCTCCTACTGGTTCTGTTTGTCTGATAGAACTTTGAATGATACAATCTGTATAATTATTAGAGAAATTTCCCTCATAGTTTCAAATCTCCCCATAAAGAAAACTCCAGATCCAAATAGATGAACTAGTGAGTTATATCAGACACTTAAGGAAGAAAAAATATTACTCCTACATAATCTTTTTCAGTAAACAGAGGAAGAGGGAATAAATGCCCACCAAGTCTTTTTGAGGGTAGGAAAGCTCTGATACCAAAACTTGATAAGGACATTACATAAAGGGAAATTAAAGACCAGTATTCATCGTGAACACAAAAGCAAAAATCCTTAACAAAATATCAGTAAGCTGAATACTGCAGTATACAAAAAGGATTTATCACAAGAATGGAAGATTCATTTGATTTTTAAAAATAAGTCCATGTAAGTCACCAACATTCACTACATAAAGGAGAAAAATCATATTATTTCAATAGGCGTATTGTATCAATATTGTACAATCATATTGTATCAATAGGCGTAGAAAAAGCATTTGACAAAATTCAACATAATTCATGATAAAGCTCTCTGCAGGCCAGAAATAGAACAGAATTTTCTCTATCCAATGAAGGTCATCTATGAAAGCCTACAGCTAACTTTATATTGATTGTGAAATATTTTCCCCCCTAACATCAAGAACAAAGCAAGTATATCTCAACTCACTGCTTCTGTTCAACATTTACTAGAGGTTCCAGCCAGCACAATATTGGAATTAAGTGACTTTAGCAACACCAAAGAATACAAGGTTAATATATAGAAGTCAATTACATTTCTGTATATCATCATCACACAGGTGATGAAGTGAAATAAAACAAAGTCACAACATAAAAATCACAGAGTATTAATAGTATACTAAAATAAATATGTAAGATTTCTTTACTAAAAAAACAAAACAATCCAGATAACAATTAAAGAAGATATAAATAAATGAAGAGATATACAGTGTTCACATATTGGATAACACTATTTAAAAGTTATCAGTCATCTGAAATTGATCTAGTGATTCCTCACAATCCCAACAAAAATCCCAGCTGGGTTTTTTGTTTGTTTGTTTGTTTTTGAGAAACTAGTAGGTCAAATTTAACATTTATATGGAAGTGCAAAGAATCTAGACTTATTCACACAATCTTGGAAAAGAACAAAATTGTGGACCTCACACTATCTGATCTCAAGACTTACTATAAATGTTCATTAACCAAGAATATGTGTTTTTGGCATATGGATAGACATACAGGTCAATGGAATGACTTAAAGAATCCAGAAATAGATCCAACATTATGGTCAAATAAAAATATACAAATGGCCAAAAAGCATATGAAAAATATTTAACAAGATTACTTATCAGGGAAAGTAAGCTAAGAAGCCCCATGAGATACCATTTCAGAGCCATGAAAATGGCTCAGATTAAAATAAATGATGAAAAAAAGTGTTGGAAAGGATGTGGAACACTTGGAACTTTCGTAGAATGCTGGTGAGAATGCAAAATGGCACCACCAACTTAGAAAACAATTTGGCAGTTTCTTGTAAGGTTAAATATACATCCATGCTGTGATTAAGAAGCTCCATTTCTACATATTTATTTAAGAGAAATAAAAACATATGTCCACAAAAAACTTGTACATAAATATTCGTGGCAGCTTTGTTCTAGTAGTCCCAAATAAACAACTCAAATGTCCATCAACACATAAATGGATAAACAAATTGTAGATAATCCTCACAGGGAAATACTACTTAGCAAAAAAAAAAAAAAAAACATAAAGAAAATAGTGACAAAGAAAGTAACATGATGAATATCAAAACATGTTCACTAAAAGAAGTCAAACACAGCAGAATATGTCCTGCATGATTCTGTTTATATGAAATTATAGAATAAGAAAACTAACCTTGGTGATAGGAATCTGAAAAGAAGATACATTTGGGACAGAATTAAAGAGAAAGGGTTTTTGGAAAGATTCTATACCCTCCTTGTGTCAGATGTTACTGAGGCTATTTCTTATGATAGAATCATGGTATCTATCCACTTCTCTCATTGCCTAAGTTCTTTGTTGAGATAAAATTATTCTACCAGAAATCTACATACCTGAGTTATTTTATTCCCTTAGCCTCAATAAAATGATGCATTATTGCTTTATGTTTTTGCTTTCACTTGAGTGACTACAAAAGCTGGTTATATAAAATCTGAGTTAGCTTTCTTCATGACGACTAATAAGTAATCTTCATCGTATCATACAGGCATGGATATATTCTTCTCCTCCATGGCTAGTCTTCCAGGTGGGAGAAAGATAGGAGTGCCTGTACAGCTGCCAATGTGGTGTTTTCTTTGAAAATCAGGAGCTAGTTTTCAGGAGATGACATGAATCAGAATCGCAGGAGAAAGACTTGCTATTTGTTTCAGACTAGTTGCACCAGTCCTCTTCATGCCACTGGGACCTCCTGAGGACAAGAGCAGCTTGGACAGAGTGATGGAGAGGGGTGATTCTCTCTGCCCAGGTGTGGGGATGGGGTAATAATTAAGACTGAGAAGCAGACAAGGATGGATGGACAAGCATACATGTGGGTAACAAACTGATAGGGCACAGAGGAAGTTTGTGTGTTTCATGTTCCAATAGCTGAACCAAGGTCTAGAAGTATAAATTGTGTGTAGGGCCACCCAGTGAATCCCGGGCCCCAGCAACCTGGTTGATAGTGCCCTATTCCATCTGTGGCACTATCCGCTCTCATCTCGTGAGTGGCCAAGACTGGGTTTCCAGAGGGGAAGAGAGATGGTCCAGATTGTAATTATTTATTGAGAGCCTCATATATTCCTGGGAGCTGTTAGGTGCTGAGCATACAGCAGCGAGTAATACAAGAAACTTAAATCCAGCAAAGACAACAGACATTAAATAAGTGGCTACCAGAAGAATTATGTAATTACAATGGCTATGTGTGTCATGAAGGAGTGGCTCAGATTTGCAAGAGCATGCGCCCGGAGGAACTGACCTTTTCTGGAAGAATCAACGAGAATTAGCTTGAACCCTTTACAGTGCATCAAAGTCAGCCATGGAAAGCTAGCTCCTGGCTGATACCAGCATGTGGGGAGGCCCGGACGGAAGGAACCTAGCGTATATGAAGAGCAGAGAGGCCAGTGTGACCTGAACTAGTAAGCCACACCTGGAGACCGGAGTGCGGCAGGGGACTGCCTATGGGGGGAGCCAAACAATCAGGGCCTTACAGGCCAATCTTAAGGAGGCCAGGTATTTTTCTAAGGGCAACAGGAAGTCACTGAAAGATATCAAGCAAATAACATCATCCCATTTGTATTGGCTGCAGTGTGATGACTGGCTTATAAGGCATCCAGACCAATAGAGGCTCTCTACAGTTAGGCCAGGTGAGAACTGAAGGCACCTGGACGAAAGTAGCACGAGTGAGATGGAGGAGGGTAAATGGAAGAAACAGAGGTGGTGATACCAGGTGGAACTGTTGAGCTAACAATATTAGCTCTGATCCTCCTAATAATTCCCTGGGTCTGGTACCCATAATACCTTCACAGCAGTCAACATGAGAGCACAACCAGTGAGTCAGGCCTACTTTCCTTGAATGCAGCCTGCTTGAGATTTAGAGTTCTATTTCTGTTTTTAAATGAGCATCCAGATAATTTCCAGCCAACAAAACTGAACTCCACGACAGACGTTTCAAATGTGCTGCTGACGCTGGCAGATGGCATCTCAACTTGCCTGGATGTAAATCCAGTTCTAATTTGGGCTTGTGGCAAATATATGTGATCTCTTCCCTTGCTTTTCAATATCCTTTGCACACCTGTACAAAGTATGGGCTATTTTATATCCCTGCTCCCAAAAGTAGATCCAGGAAAGTAAGCCTCATCCTCTCCTCTGCGGCTGGGGGTGGGTCATTGTGACCTAGGCTCTGCCAATCAGAACTTGCTCCAGAGAGCAGCCTTGGGAAGAGGGTTTACCTGCAGAATACGTTTTGCTGGCAAGGGTGGTGGTTCCCTGTTGCCAGGGGGCCAGGTGTTGCCCTGGCCGCGTGCCCATGGCAGCAGCAGCTTGCTCACCAGGCCAGTTCTGTGGTGTGGTTTTGGGCTTTGTTCCTCCGTACTTAGCCTTAACCCTGGTTCTTCAGCCCTCCCGAAAGTTCCATAATCCACCCAAGAGCCTTTTAATAAACCCTTTTTCTGCTTAGTCTGCCAGAGTGAGCTTCTGTTGCTCACAATTAATATTCCCCGCTGATGGAAAACTAGATGTTAATTACACAGTATTAAGCTGTTCTTTAAGTTTCACTGAAGTGACATCATGCAGCTGAAGCCCGTGGAAGTCTGACAGAGTAGGAGAAATGGGTCTGATCAAAGCTTCTGTTCATACTTAGCTTACATAGGGCTCCTACAAACGTTTACCAACAAATAAGAAAAATGTCTTCTCTATACTATTCCCAAGAAACTATGTCACGCAGATGAATTCCTGAGCCCACCAGCTAAAAATCAAAATATAGCAAAATAAAAATGTACATGCCTCTGAATTTCTGAGTGAATCTTCCCTGTCTCATTTTCTGGGTGGTGGGGAAGGGTTTGTGAAATTTCCTGAGGAAGCCGTGAGCAGGTGGGAGAGTGACCCTAGTTGGCAAGATCAAGGCATAAATAATTACAGAAGTTAGCTAAGGAGAGACTTCAGTCGGCTCCCCCAGGCCCAGGGAAGGAGGCCCCTGAAGCATTCCTGACTCAGGTCTTCTAGCCTTTGCTAAAATACCTCTAGGGACAAGCAGGGAATTGCTTTTCAAGGAAACCACTCCACTAGGAGCTCTGTTTGCTAGAAATACCTGCCTTATATCGAGCTGAAACCTGCCTCCTGAAATTCCTACTTACTGCCCCTGTGCTTACTTACCACCGGCACCTCGTCAAGCACTTTTTCTTTATGCACCTTCTTGCAGGCCCTTAGGCTTCCATCTTTTGCTTTCTTTCCCAGCAAAATCTTCTCTTCTCCAGGCTAAGCAATTCGGTTGTCCGTGCATTTCCACTTATGACCCAATGTGATGGCCTTTGTCTTCTCTAACAACAGTTCTGACAGGGTTGGAGCCAGACAGACTCTACTAGCTGTACAACCTGGGGCAAGTTACCTAATTCACCCGTAACCGCACTTGTTAGAAAGGCAGTATGTTCCCAGCCCAAGTGACTCAATTCGTATCTTGGTTCTGCCTTTTCTTAATGTGAAAATTAATCTTAAACTATTTCATTTCTTCGTTGAGCTGGAAATTATAGAAAAGACCAGTCAGCGGCGATTGCGAAGATGAAATTATTTCGTATAGTTAAGACCTGGCTCACCACAGTGGAGCTCACAAGACAGTAGTTATTTTATTGTTGTTATTCCCAGAATGTGGCAGCTCCTAAGTGGCTGATGGTGGTGACAGAGAGGTTTTAGTCCCTGAGGCTGAAAGGGGGGTGAGAGGACAGAGTGCCCTTCATATTCAGTCTTGAGGGTCATAGCCATGCGGTTTCAGTGAGAAAGCACTAACTGAGAAAGAAGTCTCTACCGTTTCTTGCAGGTTTCTTAATTCTGGGGGAAGATGCTTTAGAAGCAGAAGCAGCGGCGTTAAGTGACCTGCCAGCCCTCTTTCCAGATGCTGGAATCTGTCCACTCAGGACCTGAGCCTGTCCCACCCTGCAGTCAGAAGGGCTTCCTTCCAGGTCTTGGTTCTGTCTCCACATGTCCTCTTGCTTCTCCTTCTCCTTCTCCTCATTCCTCTTCCCTTGCACCTTCCTTCTTAGCTGTCTGCATCTCCAGAGTCCCTGTCACTTTCTCACCTCTCTTCTCTGCTCTGGGCACTCCCTTCCTGTTACTTCGTCCCCTTCATCGCCTTAAATTCCAGTGCTGTGGACAGATACCAGGTGCATGGGAGGCTGGGCCTCTCAGGGAAGCACGCTTTAGTGGAGAAGCAGAGAGGAGCCGGTGGGGGTGTCTCTGGACCGGAGGTCCGGGCGGGGGAGAGCACGCAGAGGCGCATTCAGCCCCCTAGGAAGGACCTAACAGGCACAGCCCTTCATTGAGTCCGGGCCTTGGTGCACTTTTGCTCAAATGGGAAGAGATCTAGAGAAAGAGATTAAACCTCTGTCCTGAGTATTTTCCCCCAGCCACTAGAAGAAGTGAATCTTTCTTGAGCACAGCTGATGATAAGAGAGTGACAACTGTGCTGGAATTCAGGGAAGATCTGAAAGTGTGTTATTTCTATTTCCTATGGAAGATGCTCCCAAGAAAAATGATTCACTCTGCTTTGGTTTGCTTTGCAGTTACTTCGGAGGGCATCACTTCTGCTATTCCTCCTGACGTGTGAGGTGAGGAGGGCAGAGGGCAGAGGGCAGGGCCCTGGGGTGGGCGAGGCTCAGGTATTTGGGGAAGGGATGGAAAGAGGACCTTACTTTGTTGAAGCTGCTGAAAGGCCATCGTTCTTGGATCTAAGTAAACCTGTAAGATACAAGATGCAGAGATGTTTAGGTATCACACCTCTTTGACTCTGAAGTAAAGTCTCTCTTTCTACAGGTGAGAATCCCTGGTCCTCTCAGCCTTGAAATCCTCCTGGTCAAGTCTGCCAGGAGAGCTAATTCAATCCTAGGCTGCAGAGTTAAACCTGCCAGTCGAGTAATAGGAGGTCCAGTGTATTGAGACTGTAGTCAAGAGGCCACGTTAGACCAATGCACCAGAGAGGTTCCACACTGCCCCGGAAATGCTAACAACAGTGCTTTACTGCTGTTCTCTCTCAACCTGACAATCTCTGGTTGCTTTTTTGCTCTTATTAGGAAACTGAGCTTCAGAGCAGTGAAGGGACTCTGCCAAAAGCAACCGGAGGCAAGTGTAAGCGGGTGGCTAATTATTTCTTCCTATACATCACCCTTCATCGGAATGGTGAATATTTTGAAAATAATCTCGTAAGAGGGATGGTTGAAGGCAAAAGGGCATTTAGTAAGTCATTCTTCCTCTCTTCATTTACTGCAGTCTACTTTGCTGCATTATCCACTAGTTTATATTTCCCCCAATATTAGACACTGAAATCTCCAGAGACAGAATCTGTTCCTTAATTTTCAGTGCCAATCACAAGATCAGGCAAATGGTTGGTAGTCAGCACAAGTATGTAAAAAACTGAAAATTGAATAATATATACATATTTCAAAATACATACTTTTTTTTTTACAAATAGGCAAAAACATAGTTAATTGCCAAAATTTTCAAAATGTTCTGTTCTTCCCTGAAAAAAATTCCTTAAACATTTTTTCCCCTGTGTCTTATATATAAGCAAGTAACAGTCATAGTAAATCAAAACAAAATGAAACAAAATACCCTCACAAGTATCTAGTTGTTTTGATTTGCAGCTTCTAATATTTATGTCTTTTTTTTTTCTTTGTCTCACCTATTGCATTGATAAGGGCCTTCAGTACAAGACTGAGTGGAAATGGTAACAGTGGACACTGTGATCTCATTCCTGATCTGAGAGTTTGGAAACCTCTCATATTTCATTATTAAGCATGATGTTCCCTGTAGATATTTTTGGAGATACTCTGTTAGATTAAGGAAGAACCTTTTATTCCTAACTTGTGAAGAACATTTATCAAATAGAAGGTGAATTCTATCAAATGCTTTTTTAAACATTAAGATAATCATATATGTTTAAAATCTGTTTTCTGGACTCTTAATTTAAAAGGTGTCCCACTCTTTTTCTTTCTCTGGAAGAATGTGTGTAAAATTCATTTTATTTCTTATTTAAAAATTTAGAACTCTATGGTATTGGTCATGCTCTAGTTCTTAATGTGTGGTGGATACATTGGTATTCATTTTATTATTTTTTAAAAAGGATGCATATACTTTCCCCCCTATATATACTCTTACATACTTTTCTGAATGTATGATATATTTTTACAATAAAAATTTTTGGCAGAATTCACAGTGAAGGCTACTGGGTCAGTGTTCTTTGTAAAAAAATTTTTAATAGCTGATTCATCTATTTTACTGTATATAGGCATATTCAGTTTTTTTTTGTTCAGTTTATTTTTTTATTAGTTCTTGTTAGGTTACATTTTTTGTGATTTATCTATTTCATTTAAATTGTCAAATATATTTGCATAAAGTTATTTATAGTGTTCTATTATTACTTTTTGGATGTCTGTAGGATCTGTAGTGATACCACCTTTCCCATGACTAATATTAATTATTTATGTTTCTCCATTTCTTGGCCAATTGTCTATGGAATTATCAACGTTACTAATATCTTTTAAAACTAGCTTTTGGCTTTGTTGACTTTTCTCTGTTCTCTGTTTTATGTTTTATTTCTGTTCTCTATTGTTTTGTTTCCTTCTACTTTCCTTGAGTTAAATTTGTTCTCTATTTTGTTTCTTGATATGGAACCTTACAATTGATTTTCAGTTTTTCTTCTTTTCTTCTATGTGTATTTAGGACTATGGAGTTCCCTCTTTATAGTGCTGCATCAGATGAGTTATGGTATGTCACACTTCCATTATGATTCAGTTAAAATATTTTATAAGTCTTATAGAGATTGATATGTTCCCATGGGTTATTTTGAAATTATATTGCTTAATTTCTAATTAGTTTGTAATTTTCTAATTACCCTTCTATTATAAATTTCTAGCTTAATTACAGGATATTTGAAGAATATATTCTGTATGATTTTAATCCCTTAAAATTTGTCTCAAGTATATCATCTGTTTTGGTAAATGTTCTATGGGTATATTTTATTGGATATGATATTGTGTATATTTTAATTAGGTCAGGTTTGTTAATTGTATTAGCAAGATGTTCTAGTTCCTTATTGACTTTTTTTGTCTGCTGGTAGTAACTCTTGGGATTAGTGTGTGGTTTTGATTTTCCTGTACTTTTGGCCTGTCAATATTTGCTTTTTCATTTGGAAACCATGTTTTGAGGTGCATACACATTTAGAACTCCTATACTTTACTTCATTGATCATTTTATTCTTATGAAATGCCATTCTTCATTTTTAAAAAGGCTTCTTGACTTAACATTTTCTCTTTTAGTAGAGCTATACCAGCTTTTCTTTCAATTATTGTTTGCAGTCTCTTTTCCATACTTTTAACATCAACTTTTCTGTTCCTTTAAATTTAGTGTCTCTTATGAGGAGCATTCATTTTTTTAAAAATTCACTGTGACAATCTTAGTCTTTTATTTATTTGGCCTATTAACACTTAATTGATTATAATTATCTTCCACTTTACTATTTGTTTCTCTTTGTCCTACTTGTTTATGTTCATTTTCTCTCTTGCCTTTTCTGAATTAATAAAATATTTCTTATAATTTTATTTTCCTTTGATTAATTTCTTAGTTTATAGTTTTACTATTTCTTTAGTGTTACTGTAGAAATTACATGAATTTTTAGCTTATTACAATCTAATGCAAATTATTTCAATTACTTTTACTACTTCCCTGTAATATTTAGCTTTTCAGTGTCTCACCCCATGCAGCTTTGGATTTGATCAATTATTTTCAAAATAATCAGTCACGTGTTCAAAACCCGTCAAGTCTACAGTTTTGTCACACGATGCCACGAAGATCACCAAAAGTTTCTCTGCCTCTCAAAAGTAGCTGAATGCCTGGGCAAGCCCAGAATATCAGCCTCTAGTTCTCTGCCAGAACTGGCAAATTCTCCCAGAGGAAAAGTCTCTCTGGTCTGCATTTCTCCAGGAACTCTTCTAATTCTTTAAACAGTTGATTTTAAAATTACATCAGGCTTTTCTATTGATTCCTATTGAAAGCATTGGTTTCTGGGGAAACCAATGAGCAAATCCATGAGCCCAGGCCGTGTATTGTGTTATTCTTATTGGGGAAGACAATTCCAGGCAGAGGGAAATGCAAAGAGGAAAGGCTTGTTCTGCTGGAGAAGTGGAAACAAAGCAGTTTGCTGGGATATAATTGTTACCAGGTGATGCAATCCGGACACGAGTA